GACTCAGAGCCCAGCACCCTGGACTTCTCTGGCGGTCCAGTGGTTAAGACTCCGAGCTTCCAATGCAGGGGGTACAGGTTTGATCCCTGGTCGGGGAACTGAGATCCTACACGCCGTGTGGCCCGGCCAAAAAAAAAAAAAAAAAGACCCAGCACCCTTCCCACCCCCTCAGCAGGTCTCTGTGCAACAGGGGCCCTCAAGCCCCAGGATCAAGTCTCAGGGAAGAAGGAAAGAATGGGCTGCTAAGCAGGGATTTGGAGAGAGGTGGCCTGCCTATCGGCTCAGTGGGAGGTTTGGCCTGGGGACACCAAATACATAGACAAGGGAGCAGAAAGGAAACCAAGAAGTGGTGTGATCCTTCCTCTTCAATTCACACACGGAAAAAGCCCAAACCAGAATCTGACCTCAAGAGACGGGCCAAGAAAGACGAAAAGCGGAACCAGGACTGCACAGTTGGCATGAGTCAGGCTGGCACTGAGAAAGGAAGCTGCCAGCCCTAACCAGATCCTCTCCTCTTCAGAGTTGGTCTCAGGTGCTCCCTTCGTGGGGCTGATCCTGGGTGTCTAATGATGGGGGAGGACACAGTGAATCATGACATCTCAGAGCTCAGGATTGACACAGACCTCAGGGGTAGCTTGAACCAACCACACATCTGAGACTTAACTACCTTCATATCATCTCCCAGTGCTGGCTGTCTTGCCTCTGCTTGGATGCCTCTAGGGATGGTCAACTCACTGCCTCACAAGACAACTTCACATTTAATCAGTGTGTTAAAAAAAAAAAATCTCAAAAGGATCATGACTTTTTTGAGTCTCAGTTTTCCTACCTATAAAAAGGAAAGCTTGGACTGGGTCACTAGCTTTCCAACTGGGTTCTATAGAGCCCTAGGGTGTTAAGGAAATATCTCCAGAGCTGCTGCTGAGGTGAGAGAGGCGATGGGGCCAGAAAATGAGGCCCAGGCATACATGGGTTCTGAGGTTCCATGGAGAGCTGAACCTCCCTTTTGAATCCAGAACCTAATTCCTGTGGTTGACACAAAGGGGAGTCTGTGGGAGAGGGTAAGTTAAGGCAGACAGAGAGACGGGGGTACGAGGAGGCCCTAGAAAAACAGGCATGCTTCTCCATGCCCTCCATCCTAGCTATAGCCAATGGGTTGGGCCGAGTTCTCTGTTCACAAAATCACACCTCCCACAGGCTCCCCACCACCTGCTGCATGGTGCCAAGGACACAGAGGACAAAACCTTACCACTTAATCACAGGCCACGTCGGCCATGCTGGGGAGTCTGAAGATCAAGCTCCAGGGAGTGCACCAGGGCTGGACGGGCCCTGGAGAGAAGTCCTGTGTAGCAGTTAAACAGGCCTTGGCAGACAGCCACCCAACTGACTACCTGGCTGTGTTGCCTTGGACTAGTTACTTAGTCTCTCTGTGCCTCAGTTTATTGGTAAAGTGGGCACCTCCACTTCAAAGAGTGACACTGAAGATCCAATGAGAATTCATACCAAGTGCTGTAAACAAGTATGAGAGAACTTAGCGGTGGCCTCCACTGCTGTTGCTGTTATTATTGACCCATCATTCCTTAAACAGGGAAAAACAGAGGCACAGAATGTGCTGCACAGGGTCAAACAGCCCGTTCACAGCCAAAAGCAGCTAGAAGTACTACTGACTGCCCACTCCAAGGCTACTGCTTCTCAGGGGGAAACTGAGGCCCAGGGGTCACTTAGGTGACAAGTGTCCATCCCAGATCTGCTTGACTCCAGTCTGGTCTCCTTTCAAACCAGAGATGCACGCCATCTCAGGCAGAGAAGCCATGCTCTTCCCAGCAGCATTATTCTTTTTCTTTTTTTTTTTTTTTTGTTGTTTTTTTGGCCACAAGACTTGTGGGATCTTAGTTCCCCAACTAGGGATTGAACCTGGCCCTTGGCAGTGAAAGCATGGAGTCCTAACCACTGGAATTCCCCTGGCAGCATTAGTCTTACGTACCAAAGATGCCTGCCTCGTTACTAGAAGCTACGTGTACTCATACACATAAATGTTACAGCATCAAAAACAATGGTCACCCTAAAAGGTTGAATATAACTTGTTCTGTGCCACACCCCCTGCTCCACTGCCATCCCCAGCACCAACCTCTGTTACCTCCCCCTCCCCTGGGAGCTTCGTGGCAGCTCAGTGAGTTACTTCCTGGAACATTTATATGGTGCTGGCTAACCCAGCCCCCATCCTTGCCATCAGTCACTGCGGTGATGGTGATGTTACACACAAAGAATTCCAAGTCAAAGAGAGCTGCTGCAAGGTCATTACACCCAGAAAACGTCCTGTTTAATCACGTATTTCCTTAAAAACAAAAACACGGGTAAATTTGGGCATAATCTCCAAGGTAGGAAGAAAGCACAGAGCAGCAAAGAGAAGGATGCTTCTTTGGAGAGAGAATGCCTGAGATCCTAACAGATTTCCAGTAAACTCACACTGCCCTGCCTTGGACCTGGCCCCCGTGGGTGTGCCTCATTAAAAAGTCAAAGTCTCACAGGAGAATTCCACCCAGTTAATCAGCTCCTTACCGCTGGGGTCCGTGGCAGCACCCAGGAGGGGCCCAGCTCCACTCCATAGACGCTGAGCAGTGGCGGACCCTCCCCAAAGTCTGGGCTCCCAGCAGATGTTCCCACCCATCCCCTTCAGCCCCCTGCCCCCATGTTCCTAAGATGCAGGTCTGGGCCTCTCCCTTCTGCTGGTGTGACCCCAGGGAAGTGACTTGTCCTCAGTCTCCCTCACCTGTGAAATGAGACAACACCTCCTTTGCAGGGACACAGTGAGGTTTAAAGAGTGTGTATGTGAAGGGGCCCAGTATGGAGCCTGGGACCTGGCAGAGGCTTCCAGCCTCAACAGCTCCTGCCATTTCCTCATGCCCGGATACCTGGGCATCAAACTCAACATTACACCTCCTCCAGCACTCAACCCCAAAGTCTGCCCTGCTGAGCACAGGCCATGCTGGCCAGTCCGCCTCCAACTTACTATGTGTCCTCGGGCAAGTCCCTCTCCCTCCTAGCCTCAGTTTCCCCACCTGTAAAATAAGGCTGTTGGGTTTGGATGACCTCAAAGATCCTTTGCTGCCCTGACGTCTGAATGTGCCAGTGTCCCAAAGTTACTCCTGGACCCACCACTCCTTTAACCCAGGCCAAGGCCCGCTGAGTGCAAGACTAGTGGAAGCTACAGGGAGGCGCAGGGCCACGGCTGCCACCACTGGCCCTGAGGGCTGAGCTGGGCTCGGGGCTGCTTCTCTGAGCCTGATGGGGGTGCTGGCATGTGGGTGGAGGTGATGAGGCGTGATGGTGGGAGTGGGTGTTCCTACAGGTCTGAGGTGAAGACTCCACCAGCAGATCTGCTTTCCTGAGTTGCTGGAAGAGAACAGGCTGCTCCCCACTTTGGGACCATGGCCCCAAACACATGCTCAGCTCTTGGGTTCTTGCCGCCCATGGAGGCCGCTTTGCCAGGAGAGACTAGAAAGATGGGAACGGCCACAAGAGGTGGCCCCCAGCAGGTTGGCCGAAGTCCCTCTGGTCAATTGCTTCCTGCCTCAGCCCTTCAAAAAGTGGCCAGGTGTCCTGGAGGCCACACTGGTGGCCCGAGAATTGCCTTCCATGAGCAGGAAGAGCATGAGGCAGAGTCCTGGAAGCAGGGCCTGGACTCACACCCAGATTCTTCAGCAATTATCCTACAGGGTCTCCGCAGCCCGAGAGCTAACGTTCAACGCGGGCCCAGAATGTGCTAAGTGCTCAGTAACTGTTTCTTCCCTTCCTCCTCCTTCTTCTTCATTTTTAAAAAATATTTTATTTTATTTTTATTTTATTTTTTGGCCGCTCCACATGCTGGATCTTAGTTCCACGAACGGGGATAGAACCCACGTCCCCTGCAGTGGAAGCGCAGAGTCTTAACCACTGGACCACCAGGGAAGTCCCTCCCTTCTTCCTTCTAATTCAGAAGGAATCAAGAGAAAGTGCTCAGAGACATGAACACAAATAAACAATAACTGAGTCACAGAAGGAGGCACCTGAATCCCAAATCCCGAGACACACAGGGCACCAACTCACTAGGCCTCAAAATTCGGGGGGGCTACCTGCCCGTGCTCTGCAGCACGCGGTGTCTCTGCTCATATCACTGTCTTGTGCAGGGTGAGAGGGGGCCAACCCACACAGCTGCTCTTCTGTGCCTGGACCATCCTCCTGAGCCAGGAGGACATTCATAGGGGGCTTCTCCTCTGCCCGTGATCTCCCTACCATCCACCCATGCCTGGGGTCTGTTGAGATGGCTGATATCTGATAATTGTTCATTCTTTAGAGATGCTCCAAGTATTATCCTGGCAAAAAGAGACCCCCAGGATACCACATACCTGGCCACATTCTCCTGGGCCCTACACCATTGCTCTGACAGGTTTTATCATCAAGGGCCAATAGGAAAATAGCCAAAGGAGGAAAGTCTCTGTGTTTCCTGTAAACCTGCCATGTAGACCATGGCTCTTTAAGCTGCTTCCAGCCCTAAAACAAAGATTTTCGTGTATGGGGCCAGGGATAATTCTGTCCCTAACGATCTAGTCTGCCCGCTTCTACTAAGTAATAAAAGCAAGGTGTCCCAGCCTGTTTCTTTTATTGCCCTGGCTGCTAGGAAGTTCCAAGCTAAGTTTTCCATCTCAAGTGCTGTATCCTTCTTTAATCAGAAATTTCTATGAGAACTTCCCCCCCGCCCCCACTTCTCCATGTCCTTCTTAGTTCCTATCTTGGTTAACTGTACTTGGTACCCTGGTATCTGGACTGTCACTGTGCCCTGCCAGTTTCTTCCTGAGTTCGGTGAAACACGAACAGATAAACTGTGGTAAAGATTCAACACGGCACTGCCCCCCAACCACCACCTTGAAAGTACACACCTTCACCTCTGGAGGCTGGTGGGTGACCACAGGGCCCATCTGCCTCCCTGCTGAGTTGCAAGTCTCTGTGTCAAGGGCTCTGCTTACCTGTCATGATCCTCTGTGCCTCATAGGGCTCCATGTAGCCAGCACTCTCCCCCTTTCCCGCTTTGCTTTTCAGATCATTCTTGGCATCAAAGGGATCCGAGTAGTCATCAGCGATGGTCACCTGCAAGGAAGATGGCAAGTGTGTGAGTCCACCTGTGGCTGTCGACTTCACTTCTGTTCACAGCCAGGCTTTGCTCCAACAAATATAAACTAAGCCTGTGCCAGATGAGCAAGGAGTAGGAGGCAGAGGCAGGAATCTGAGCTGGTGCCCACCCTCAGGGAACTCTGATTCTCGCAGGGGTGACAAGGGGCCCATGCTGCAGTGCTCCATCATAAGGGAGGGGCCTGAGCCTGCATATGTAGGCTGGCTGCTCTGGGCACAGTGAAGTGAGAACAGAAGGGCATCTCGGTACAGAAGCACAGAGGCAAGAACTTGGAAGGTCTCTTTGGGGAATGTGACTTGCTCGATTTAATGGAATGGAAATGGAGGAAAGTTGGAAATGAGCTCGCAGAGAGCCTAGAAATGCTGACATGCTCCTGGTGCTGGCTGAGGCACAGAAGAGCTTGCCTAGAGATAATTATGTCCAGCGTTCCATTTTCCCCAAATCTGGAACACAACCATCCCTTGGGTAACCAGACAACAATTTGGTGAGATCAACGCTCTGCAAAGATGACTGAGGCCCCAGACAGGCCCAGTGAAAACACCAAAGCAGCTCAGGGATGAATGGATAGACTGCCAAGGCCAGCGAGGGCCTTGGAAGCAACACATCAGAAGACCCTTCCATAACAGATGGGGAAACTGAGGTCCAGAGCAGGCACCTTGGCTGGACCCTCTGCCTCCCAGAGCCCTTTCTGGACTCCTCACTTGTCTGTATTCCAGAAAGCAGCAAAGTTCCACAACAAACAGAGCAGTCACCTGGGGCTAGGCAGTGGAGACAGCAGGGGAGTCCCCTAAGAGTGTGAGAATCTGAGTTTTGAACACTTCAAAGTTCCACATTTTCCCTGGAGAAGGGTAAAAATTCTCATTTGGAGGCTAAGAGTAAACACAGCAACTTTTCCTCCCATTTTTTTTTCTTTTTTCTTTTTTCTTTTTTTTGCGGTACGCTGTTGCGGCCTCTCCTGTTGTGGAGCACAGGCTCTGGACACGCAGGCTCAGCGGCCACGGCTCACGGGCGCAGCCGCTCCGCGGCATGTGGGATCTTCCCGGACCGGGGCACGAACCCGTGTCCCCTGCATCGGCAGGCGGACTCTCAACCACTGCGCCACCAGGGAAGCCTTCCTCCCATTTCTGACTACCTAACCTTCAGGAGAGGCACTCTCACCACCAAAGGGGTAAGGACATGAACCCACCAAACCCGCTCCCTTTCAATGCACCCTTTGCTCCACCACAAACTCACTGTGACTTCTGCCCCTTTGGTCACACATCTGGCAAAGGGCAAGTCCTCAGCCTCCCAGCCAGGGCCACCCAGCTGCCTCTCTCGGGAGGGGGTAGGTTAGCTTTTCTCTCAACCCTTGGGGTTTCATGAATTGTTATTTAAATTGTGGGGTTAATTAGAAACCACAGGAGCCTCCACTCTCTCCCAGCTCCTGGAATGTAAAGCATTTGAGCAGCCTGTAAACCCAGGGGAAGGGAAAATCCCCCTTTGTCTGCTGGGTAATGGCAGTTTGTGGCAGCAACCCTGGCAGCATGAGCGAGTGACCTCCAGTTGCTGGGAATGTGATGCCCGCAGCCCTGTCACTGGCGTGGGGCCGGGAGGGCCGACGGGAGGCATAGCACACAGCAGTCGCTGCTCCCCTAAGAAGAGCAGGCTTATCGGTGGAAGACCCAAGGCTGGAGCGCCCGCAGTCTGAGCACGTGCAGCACCGCTGCCACTGCTCCACTGTGGCCATGGGTCAGGCTCCAGTGCCAGCAGGGGAGCTTCCAGATGCTGACACTGTAATCGTGGCCTTTCTGGAGACTCACTGAGCTCAAATGACACCAGGCAGGGAAAGATGGGGGAGAGGGAGCGCTAGGGCCCGCCATGTCTTTCATAGGACATTTCTACTCTACCACTTGCAGAACACATTAGGGAGAAAATCAGACAAGTGAACCACTGTCATACAGAACAGCTCAGATGCCAATCCAGTGCATGTAGGGTTTTGGGTCTCAGAGTTCAAGGGGCCTGAAATCCAAAGGAGAAAATGAGGAACCTGCTGTGGATGACATCTAATCTCTTTTCTCTCATCCCATCTAATCTCTTTTCTCTCATCCCGGCCTTCCTTACTGTCTTTTATCAGCATGAACACCCTCCGTCTATTCTGCAATGAAGAAGGGAGCAAATATTTCCCCAAGAAAACAAAATCACTTGAGGGGATTAGCTGGGGAGGGTGCTGGGCTGCAGTCTCTCCGTAATCTAGAAATCAACATTCCAGCTCCTCCCGGAAGTGCTCTATGATTTGCAAACACAGAGGCTAGCAGGATGTAAACCAAATCTGTGCTCGCCCTGGGATGGGAGCTCTGGGAGGCCTTCGGTTCAGCCGGCGCTATCAGCTCCTCCCGGAAGTGCTCTATGATTTGCAAACACAGAGGCTAGCAGGATGTAAACCAAATCTGTGCTCGCCCTGGGATGGGAGCTCTGGGAGGCCTTCGGTCCAGCAGGCGCTATCTGTATTTTCTAATTAAAATGAGATCTGAGCGTGGGCTGTCACGGGGCCCCTCCGGCTGCCTGCCCTGCTTACTTCCGTTTCAATAAGAATTTACAAATCCTAAAACCAGGAAAAGCTCTTGGTCTCTGCTGACATATGGTTCCAGTTATACCTGCTGACAGTTGAAAATCCTTCCGTTTAAAAAAAAAAAAGTTCAGAATTCTGTTAGTTTAAGAAGCAAATCGGAAGATTCCTAAAATGTATATTTAATCAATTTCCTTTCAAACTTCAAAGTGAGTTGGAAGAGGGGACGGAATTTGAGGTTTGAGCAACGTGAAACTCAGCAAACAATCACTGAGCTGTCTGACCTTTCACAAAATCACGTCCTGGTTTTTGGAGTAAAAATTTAACCAGGTGTTAGGAGAGTTGAGTGGGGAGTTTAACCAGAGTGCCGTGCGACGTGCCACAGGCCTCAGGTGCAAGCACTGGGTAGTGTGACCCAGGGACACTGTAAGTCAGGATGGCCAGGCAGGGGGCTTGAGTGAAAGCTGTTGATTTTCTGAGTTAAAAGAAAGGAAGCGAGTTTGCCCAGGAGTGGGCTTGGATTCCTGGGGGGGTGGTTGCTTTTGATTTGCTTTAAAATGCCCCAGTTAGCGGACAAGTCTCTTAAATCTAATTAAACAATTCAAGCAAAAGGGAGCCAGCCGGGACTCCTCCACAGGTCAGGCCACTTGGGCACATGAGAAGCCTTCCTTGATTTTGATCTTGGATTGGCAAAGACCCAACATGGCACTGAACCCTTCAGATGGCTTGCTTGCCTTACACAGGGCAGGCGCAGAGCTGAGGGGGAACCCAGGCCACTGGCCCCACCATTCCACCATGGAGCAGAGCAGCAGAAAGATGCACTGTCAGAGTGGGGCTACCTAACTCATAGAACACACCTTCTTTTGCTTTCCTGGCCTCCTGGGATAGGCATACCGGCCCATCTCTGAAAAAAGAAGCAGGGTTATGGCTAAACCCCAGGCAGGCCTTTTCTTGCTGTCAAACAAAATTGGAGACCCCAGGTTAGCCAGTGCCCCAGAAGGACTTTTATAGGCTCATAAAGCAGTGAAACTGGGAGCTGGGGGTGTGTCCTCGAGAGACCTGTTCCAACCTCCCATTTTTGTACATGGCCCACTGCAGTCCGGAGGATTCTAGAATTCCAGCACACCCAACGCCTCTCTGACAAGGCTCTGGGAGCTGGCTGCAGACTGGAGCTCCACAAGCCTCCTTTCTGCTTTGCATACACTGCTGGGTGGAACTGGTCCCTCCCTTCCAGCACTCTGAGGCCTGGGTGTTTTTTCTTGGGGATTTAGTTTCATGATAGGAGGTAGTCTTCCAATTTATCCCCAAAGGGAAGTGGAAAGTGGGTGTCTCCACTTGGCCACATGCCCATATGCTTCAGTGAGACAGTGGCACCTGCGTTGAGAACTGGCTCCTCTCCATAGGCTCTGGGTGGAAAGGTAAACTGGTAGAGTCACTGTGAAAGATAACTTTGGGAGCGTCCATTAAAATCCAAAAATGCACATGGATTAACCCAACAATTTCACATTGCAGTATTTATTCCCAAATGTGCACAAGGAGACATGGGCAAGGATGCTTACTGGAGCAAGTAATAGGGAGAAACTGCAAGCACCTGCTATGCCCATCAATAGGGGGATTGCTAAATAAACCGTGCCAGTTTCACACTATGGGATATTATGTAGCAGGTTAAAAAAAAAAAGAAAGTAGTCACTCTATAGCTCTATACATAGTGCTCCAAGACATAGCTTTGAGTGGAAGAAAGCAGGCTGTAGAATGGTAAATACAAGATGATTGGGAATTCCCTGGCAGTCCAGTGGTTAGGACTCAGCACTTTCACTTCTGGGGGCCTGGGTTCAACCCCTGGTCAAGGAACTAAGACCCCACAGGCCGAGCGGCATGGCACCCCCCCCCAAAAAAAAAGATGATACCTATTTATGAAAATTAAACAAAAAGCTGTATCTATTTAATTTAACAAAAACGTCTGGGGAGACAGACACTTCAAACTGACACCTCTGGGCGGAGGGAAGGACTGGTAGTTGGGTGATGAAGGGAAAATAAAAGGAGATTTGTATGTAATGTTAACACATTTTTCAAACAAGAAAAACTTATTAACGTACTATAAGCAAAACTAAACTTTTCCAAAGCACTCCTCTTCACAGTTTATTTTCAGTACAGTAGATAAACTGCCTCCCAAACTTGCCTGAAGATAGGAATGACACTTAAAAAAAACAGATTCCTAGCCCTAATAACTTGTATATTTTATAAACAACCCAGGTGATTCTTATGATTAAAGTTTGGGAAAGGCTAAGTTAGAGCCAGCCCCCTCGCCCACCAATCTAAAGCTAAGCCTCCCGATACCACCCTGGAGTTCCACTTTTCCCAGATACTTCTCAGCCTTGTTCATTAAAGTGAAGCAAGAAGTCCGTGTTCAAT